ATAGCTCTACCTCCAAGCACTGAATTTTGCAGTTGCTCTTAAGCCCGGGCTTTCCCACCCTGCAGCTCTCCCTGTTGCTGGCCAGAAAAGATTATAATGACTCCACAGTTAAGATTTTTCCCTTCTGCACATCAGTAACAAGTTATCTTTTAAAAAAAAAAAAAACTGGAAAAGAAGCATTTAATCTCGTATAAATGAGGTTTTTAAAAATCCCATTTGCCTTCCCTCTTCATGCAAATCTGTGCTGATCTGATGAGGCTCCTATTTCCTGAATTACACACGTCAAGCTTTGCAAAAACGAGCATACCCTGGTGGTTTAGCACCGTATTTCACAGCTCTCTTCTTGCCCATGCTGACATAAATATTTTAGAGACCTGCACACAACTGTTTGAGTTAGGTCTAGGTCACTGAAAAGCCAGTGATTCGGACAGATGCATTAATTCAGCAAAGCAATTAGCAGGAGTCAGCGCAGCTCAGGACATCCCAGTGAACAGCAGGAGCAAGATACCACCGACAAGGTGTAAGGAAATCCTCACCGGCCACCACATCACCCACACAGGCTGTGGGACAGGCCCTGCCTGGCACAGGACTCCTGAGCCAAAAGGATCTCTCCTGCCATTACATTCTCCTCCCAGCTTCAAAAACCTCTTCTCGGCTTAAATGCTGAAATCTCTTGAAAGACAAAGACTGGCAGTGAAACTAGACCGAGTTATGCCCCATCCTGAGTCCTGCTCTTTCTAGCAAAACCACGGAAAGTCCATCAAAGCAGCTTCTGAAATTACCTCCCCAACAGGAACACTTTCTTTGACAACTGTGTTTCCATACATGTAAAACATAGAAAGCAGCCCGAGGACCCTTGTAAGCTGCAGCCATGGATATTTAAATGATAAGCAATGTATCATCAGCTTCCCGCTGAACATAAGATGGTTTCATCTTTGCAGAAGCAGCAACAACAGCACGCTCACATCAACTTCACTCTGGCAGTTTGATCAACAGCAGCAGTCATGGCTTCTTATTTTTTAACTGCAATATAATTAGGCACTTAGGAAAATGACTCTGAACAGTACAAATGCTATAGAGTAACTGCAGGTATCAGCACAGCGCTCTGCAAGCCAGAAGTTTAACCACAGCTGAAGGTACAGGCCAGCCGGGCTCGTGTAACACATGCTCTGCCCGGCTAGACACTGAGACATGCTATCCAAACCTGAGAGAGATCCAATGCTGCAACATTTCAATCGCCAATGCAAGATTTTGCTCCATTTCTCCAGTCTGCAGGGAGCTGCTCTGGACCAAAGGAAGCCTTTCTGCGTCCCACTGTTGGCTCCTCTCAAATGGAAAGCATGCAGAGTAGGCTGTAAATTTTTTAATATTTCGGGCAGATGAGGGTCTCGCTTGGTCCATCTGTTTTTGGAAACTGGACACATTAATTCCCAACTTCAAACTGTCAGCTGAGAAACCAGCCAGTGAGTCAGGGAGCAGGAACATGCTGATGCCACAGAGGTGGACAAAGCCCGTTTGCAGAGGCACTGCACAGCCCTGACTCCCCACAGCGCTGGTCACTGCTGAGGAGATGATTAACCCCCTTTTTCTTTCCCAGTTAAACCCTTGCCTCTAATATCCTTTCTCTTAATCTTCACAGCAATGTTCCTCTCCAAGGAGCCATTTCTGACCCTAATGTCGGGTGGAACCAGCACATCTGTTGGTCAGTGATGTGATTAAATGGTCAGAGCAATCTGACTTTCAATCATCATCAGGAATGCTAAACGGAACAGAAGGAAACAAGGTGCACAAATAACAAAAGGAGGTAATTCCCGGGAAACGAACCACTCATGCTCTAGGATGTTGCATGGCAGATTTGAGGTCACCTACAGATGTGGAAGAAATGCTTTTGTATACAGAACCCTGAAGAAAACTGTCAATTTAACAGAGATCATCAATGCCATCCAAACCTTCCATTCAACTCTGCCATCCCAAAGACTAAGGAATAAGTATTCAGTTGCCATAACCAACAGGCAAAGATCACCTTGAAAAGCGGTGGGGTGTTTCTGTGTGCTGACAGACTCACCTCCACACACTTGGAAGAGCTTAACGTAAGCCATAACAAAAACGAGTCACCCCTGCTGTGTTTCTCCAGAGAAATTCCAACTCACAGGGGTACTATCACCTGGTAAAAATGCATTCAGAAAGCAAAAGACATCAGAGGAAGCACAACTTTAAAAAAAATCTGCGTCTGTGGAGGAACAGATACCTGACCATGAGAAGTGATCTAACCATGGGTGTGAACATCCATTCAGTACAATCCCACTTGTTAAAACCCAAGTACCCTGCAAGTTCCTACGGACACCAGCCAAGAAAAGAGCAAAAAGCCCTGCAGATGTCTTCATCGTTTCCTCAGATGACACCAAAAGAAGTAAAATAATGGAGGCGCTGGGAGGACTTTCCAAGATGCACGTATCCTTTCTAACCCAGCCATGCCTGGTGCGTTATTTACTGCTGAATGAGAAAGAAGCAAATGCCTAACAAAGCGTTAAAGGACCTTGTGAATTTTCACCAACCTTTCTACAGTTCGTCAGCTTCCCGGCTGGCTGGCAGAAGAGACAACTGATCTCCTTTCTTCCAGATTACAGGCGGCAGAGCTCTTAGGGTAACTGTCTCTCTCTGTTTGCATCCAGCTACCTCCAGCAGCTTGAAGCGTGCTCAAAGTGCAAGAAAGCACTTGATCAAAATCCAGCTCACATTGCAGGCAGTGAGGGAACAACTGCACAAAGCAGCACTACATATACTATAACAGTTGAATTAGGTGGAGGGATTTCACAGGTTATAGGTTGATGACACTGCTGCAGTCTCAGCGGAAGCGTGGTTTGATGCAATTAGCAACAGGGAACTAGAAAAACAGCAGAGTAATACTGGAAATACATGTATGAAAGATGAGCAACTGCAGGACCAGACAGAAGCATAAAAAAATCCCGCGTTGAGCTCAGAACAGGAACAAGATGAAACAGGAGTGCGACAGGGGGAAATGTAACTCTGAGCTCCCTTCCACTATTCAAAATTGAAGATCCAGATTTTAAATCAAAACATTTGCTTCCCAAGGAGAGACTGGCCCTGTTTGCTGCAGTGATACAACAGAAAATGGTGTGGGGACATTCCAGAGAGGCAGGCAGCAGAAAGCAAACTTCTGAGCATTGTGCTGTGGTTCACTTTGGCCTGTGCTGAGCACACGCCAGCCAGCCCAGCCAGGACTCTGCTCAGCTACAAGCAAGTGAAATCTCATCAGAAAACATAGGAAAGATGCAGAACCACTGGATTAGACACACTGCCAACGCATGCACCTCTGCTAAAAGACTGAAAGGCACATCCCTCATGCAGCCATGCTGGCTGCTTCCCTCATCCTGCAGGTCAACTCCCTCCCCTAGCAAGAGGGAAACCCTCAAGGCCAGAGGCCGCAGGGATGGGCTCATGAAGGCAGCAGGTTCCCCAGCCTTGCTTCAAGTAATACACATGCGAAAAGTGTGAGTCACAGTCCACACACAGGATTTCGCTTTTAGAGAAGTGCACAGGAGACAAAAACCCAGGCTGGTGGGGGGAGACCAAAGACAACTCCTCTTTCTGACATGTTTCTACCCAAATCTGCACACACACCTGAAATGAGGATCCATAGCAACCAGACGATAAGACAGGCCACCATTTAAACCTTTTACAAGAGTAATTGAAATTCTTCTCCTCTGTGAATGCTGACAAGCTCCCCACTTCCACAAGCCCTTCGCTGCACATGCCCAATGTGGAATTGCTACAAAAATAAAGTGGAACAAGACACCTGAGCAATGGAGAAGGTGTTTCTGAACAAAACCGGCAACGACGTTTATAATGACTGCAAGTATATACGTATTCTGCTTCAGAAAGGGTGGTAGGGATCTGCCAGTCTGAATACTAAGCAGGGACACCACATGCTTTCCATACATAATGGTACAAAAATGGAATATAAGTATATACTGCAGCTTTGTGAAATTCAGGGGCTTTTGCTAGACATTTATGTTATACAAGGATTTACCTTTGGAAAAGTCATTCTGCTATATCTGGCAGAAATTTCAAGACAAACGGATCCCATATTTATTCATCCAATGATAATAATGAGCACAGGATAAAGCTGTTTTAAATTCAGAGCACTTTATAAAAATTAATTACTACTTAGTTCACCCTTCTGAGGTGGGAAGGTATTACACCTGCATATACAGGAGGACACCAAAACACAAGTGGATTAAATACCTCGTCCAAGACCCCAGAGGCAGGCTTACTGATCATCCTAATTGCTGAAATATGTGTGCACACATGCACCTGTGTGTGTGTTTAAATGGGCTTATCCTCTCCAGAGCCTTTCCTAGCACACAGGCTTTTGCAGCAAAGCCAGTCACCTCAGTTGGTGTTTTCTCACCATGTATGTCCCATACACATTTAATAAAAGACACCAACCCCAAAAAAAGGGATTTTTGTGGGATGTACAGATAAGGATAAAAGCCGGATTTCAAACACCCAAAGAATAGAAAACCCACTGTTAAAAAGCTGTATAGTGTTACATTGACAGTTCTTAATCAGATTGCCACTGAGCAGCATTTCACCAGCCCACACTGGAGCACAGCAAACCGGGGATACCATGAGCCAATGAATGTTAGAAAATCTGTCCCTTGACAAGCGTACAAAGACAGAAGGGGCTTCTGAGCTAGTGACAGAGACACATCACCACCTGCAACATGACTGGCAGCCCACTCAACCTGCTCCAGTGAACTGAAAGCACTTTAGCAACCGCTCCTATTGCCAGCTGGTGCGGTGATGGCCTCCTGTCCCAGTATTGGGTCATTGGGTCCATATCTCTTTGTCTGAACACCAGCAAAAGAATACATTGTCATGGGAACAAACAGGTATTTTGAGTTTCTGCAAGGCTTCTGTCAGTGCTGTCAGGTGGGGTTTCAGAGGGACATTGTAATTAGTCATCAGCGTGTTACCTGGACGGATGGTTTGCCACTGATGTGTGGGGTAAAACACTTCCAGGTCTTCAGGGTCAGCATCATCTTCTGTTATCAGCTCTTTCCTGCTGTCATCTTTTATGTCGTTCTCTTCTATTTTTGTAAGGGCAAACTCCTTTCGGATAGAAGAGATTCAGCTCATTAGCAATTGCATCTGGGTAATTTAGTGCTGGCTGAGAATACAAATTTTTTTCCCTCGCCAGCAGATTTTTTTTTTTTTGACATCCGAGATTCTTTCCACATGGTTAAATTTAGATTTAAAGTATATTAAAGGTTAAACATGCATAACTAGCATGACATTTGTGCTGAACAAAGCAACACAGCTTATTTCCTATTCCAGTGCAGGCTGCAGGTCTAAAACAAGCTTTTGCAGAGCCTCACCTATATTACACTCAGAGCCAGAAGCCCTGACTATTATTAGGGTTGTGTAACATTGTAAGACCCTGTTTTCCCTTGCCTAAAAATATGTCAAACTTAACTTTTTCAGCTGAAATTTTCCACACGAGTGGAACGCCTCAAGCGTTGGTTTGGGTTTTTTTTCTTAAATGCACTTATTTCAGGCTTGGTGAAGATTTCAGCTAAAATAGTTCAGCTATTTCCAAAATAGGACACAGAGAAAACGCACCGAATTGCCCACACGATAAAAATGCAAGCATCCTTTTCTTTACCCGTTCCTGGTGTCCTCCGCGTCTTTTAAAACAATGAGGCAGCAATTTAATCACCACCTACATCGCAAGTGCAGCACGTGAATGGCAGAGGTGTGGTAGATCAACTAGCATGAGTGGTACGACATTACGCAAAGGAAAAAATGAGGATGAAAAGCAGGAAAAATATCCTTGCTGTGAGGGAAACCTCGCCATTCACTGGAAAGTCTCCCTAGGGAGCTGGTGGGAGTCATGTAAAACTGCAACGGATAAAATTGTTGAGAGTGCATAGTAAGTAACAACCTCATACTATCTTACACCAGGCTATTAACTTCTTGGGAAGCAGGTCTTTGCTATTCTGGTTTTCACAGGAACAAATAAGCTAGTCCAGGCTAATCACCCAGACAGCTCAGTTTCTGTTGCAGAGAATATTATCAGCTTCTGATATCGCCAAGGACAACACCACTGAATAATTTCAAATAACCAGCCTATAGGG